AAGCTGAGACTGGTCTCCTTGGTTTTCCTTTCATTAAATACTTGTTCAATCATTTCTGCAGATCTGAGATGTAATTTTTGCAGAAAGGCAGATTACTGTAATCTAGTTTTCATTCCACCTTTACTGGTGATGTACTGAATAATTACAGTAATGGGTTGTTTACTTTTGTAAATATTACTAGTCATTTTGCATGAACACAGTAGGAAATATAAAGATTCCTTTTACCTAACACTTAGATTACATTTCAGTGATCTCTCTGGGCTCAGGTGTAAAGGTTAGAGCAGGGTAGCTTTTCCCAGAGACATCTTCTCATAGTCCCCAAACTATGAGTTTGTTTCAGCTCTTTCCAACCCCACTGGGTCCTTGTCAGTTGCTTTTTTTTTTTCATCATGCCACTTTCCTCTTTTTGACACTGGTTTCCAGATCTTGACTACTGTAAATAATGCTGCGATGAACATAGGTGTGCATACGTTTGTGAATTAATGTTTTCATACATTTCATTCACATACATTAATGAATTAATATATGTCACAAAAATGGCATGGTTTGACTAGCACGTGCTCCTTCTTGCACTATAGCAATCCTTCAAAGGATCTGGGATGTCCTTCGTCTCTTCCTGTGTTCACAATGCTGATCTGTCTGTAGACTCCATAAGGCCACTGTTATGATAAACTCACCGAGGTGCTCTGCAAAGCTCTGTTGAACATGCGAATAGTCCCTTTTCTGCTGGGGTATAGAGTGCTCAGCAATCAGAGATGCTGTCATGTCCGAACTACTGTGGATGCATCATTTCCCATCTCTGAGGCTTCAGTTGTCATGTGATGCTACCTTTTTGTTTGTCCTGGAGACTGAACCCAGGGCTTTCACATTTGTTCTTTTTTTTTTTTTGCTTTCTGGGCCACACCTGGCTTTGCACTCAGGAATTACTCCTGGTGGTGCTCAGGGGACCATATGGGATGCTGGGAATCGAATCCGGGTCAGCTGCGTGCAAGGCCCTTGAGCTACATATCCATCCGGTTTCCATGCATTTGGAGGTGGGATAATAGTTACAAGAATCACTGTCACTGTCCTCCCGTTCACCAATTTGCTCAAGTGGGCCCAGTAACATTGTGAAATGTGTTGTTACTGTTTGGCATATCGAATAGGGTAGCTTGCCAGGCTTTGCTGTTTGGGCTAGATACTCTCCGTAGCTTGCCGGGCTCTCCGACAGGGGCGGAGGAAGCGAATTTGGGAGGTCGACCATGTGCAAGGCAAATGCCCTATCCACTGTGCTATTGCTCCAGTCCAGTCACAAGAATATAAAGGATAAAGGGTGTGGCAAGCACAGTACCCAGAAAAAAGCTCAACAGATATGTATTTCAGCTTCCTTTCATCAAGACCAAAGAAGTCTCATCACCTACTCATCCTTCTCTTGCTCTTTCAAGCCAGTCATTTGGGGCTGGAGAGCTATTACAGAGGATAAAGTGCTTTATTAAACCAGGCTTGCACCAGTCCAATATGATTCCTGGAACACTCCTAGGGGTCACTCCTGAGGGCAGAGTGGGGAACAGTTCCTGAGAACGAGTGGGTGTGGCAAAAAAAATCTTAGAAAGTTAAAACTCAGATATATGAACCAAAATTTTACTGTCCAGGGTACCCTGTATCCTCCTGGAGGAAGTATGGAGCAGAAACACTAGGTTTGGATTTGAACACCAACTGAGCTGTATGAATTTGGTAACTGTTTTAACTTCCACTTAGAAGAACATCATTTACTTTAGAGGGTTCTTGTGGAAATTAAATGAGAAGTGTCTATAAAGTGATTTAGAGGATGCTCAAAAAAATTTTTTTTCATGATTACAGCCTGCCTGGTAAACACAAGAGGATGATGAGTGTCCGGAAACCCACACATGATCATGCTGGCCCTCTGTGGCAAGAACACAGCACAGCAGACATACCCAAAAGGGCTTGGAGAGAGAAATCAGATCACCATGGTTGAGGACTTGGGGACATAGCACAGGGTGTGTGTGTGTGTGTGTGTGTGTGTGTGTGTGTGTGTGTTTAAATCTTGAGGGAGCTTATTTTCACCATGGAAATATTTAAACCAGTATCTCAGAATGAAAGTGTTAGTATGCAAGCGAGAGGCCAGAGATAGTAAGATAGCACAGTTAAGTAAGGTGCTTACCTTGCATGAAGCCAACCCGGGTTCCATCCCCAAATTGTCCCCTAAGCACTTAATAGACGGGACAGAGTCTAGCAAGCATCCAGATGATACTGCCACTATTGGTCCATATTAAGCACAATCTAGAACTGCCATGCCAGAAACAATTCAGGGCCACCAGCGGCCAGTTACTGAGAGAGCCTGCCTACCTATATTCAGAGTCGTGAAGGAGGCAATATTTATCTCCATTTTTCATATGAGAAAACTGTAGCACAGAAAGTATGCAATTTACTTATATTCTAGTAAGAGTGAATTCTGGGTCCTAATCTAGCCCCATGGCATTCTATAAGAGGACTCGGCAGAGCAGATCACCTATGGAGGCCGAGAGCTGTTGGGGTGAAGCAGGAACCCGGGGCAGGTCTCTGTATTGGCCCATGGCTCCAGGTTCTTCAGTAGTTTCCAGAATAAAAATGTTAAATAAAAAAATAACTCAGACTCAGAATTGGAAAGATAGAAAAGTTTATTGAGAAGTATAAAAGAAACAAACTCCCAGCCAAAGAGAAACTCAGTTTAGGAATAAGTATGGAGTTTTGGGGTGTGTGTGGCTTGCATTATTAGAGCATCTGGATTCCCAATTGTTTTCCAGAGATGCCAGTAATTTAGAGCCCATCTGTGTTGCTAACATTAACATCTTCCATTCCCACTTAGGCTGGTGAGGGCTAAAGCTATGTAAGGTTATATATCTGACCATCTATCCAGGTACTGTCCATTATCTCTGTCTCTTGTGAGCCCAGGGCCTGGGGCAGAATTTACAGCCTTGAGAAACTAAACTTTAGTGTCAGAGAGCACCCAGAAACTTGCAGGAATGGTTAAAATGGAGAAGCCAAGCTAATGTGGAACTGCTCACAGCTGGCACATGGGAAATGACAGCTTCCTTTTTCAGAAGAAAGCAGTAAGGGTACTGAAGTGATTCGAAGCTAGGGCAGGGGGTGGATAGGAGGGACACGGAAAGAGAAAGGACAGTGTGGCGGCTGGAACATGGACACGAAGCTCTCTCAGAACCCCATTTCCAATTGTGCCCAGGCTTCCCCATACCAACAAACCATTCTTGGATGCTAACAACGCTCAGTGATTCAACTCAATTCTGACGCTACCAGGAGAGAGCAGCGGACTTAATGGGGTCATGGCTGCCACTCCCCAAACTTTATATATATATTTGACACCCAGTGATTATTCCTCAAGGGTTATTCCTGGCTTTACACACAAAGATCACTACCAGTAGTGTTTGAGGGACCATAAGGGATGCTGGGGATGGATCCTGGGTTAGCACGTGCAACGCCAAGTGCCCTACCCACTGTACTATCACGTTGGGCCTCACTTCCCAAACTTTACATATTGGTTGCCAGCTCAAGCTCCTATGTATACATCTGGCCAACTAGCTGCAGTCCAGAAGTCAACGCAGAGATCACTGGGCTTAATGAAGTCAAATATCTGCATACTCACCTGATCACCTATTTATTATAAAGGAGATCCTTCAGGAACAGCCAGGTGAAAAGATGCACACAGGGCGTGGCACGGAAAAGGTGCAGAGCTTCCCTCTAGGTGTGCCATCCTGTCCTCACCTCTACGTGGTCACCAACAAAGCAGCTCCTGGGATCCTCCAAGAGCTTTTATGGAGGCGGTGTCCAGAGCACTGAATACTGGCAACTGATGACAATCACTAGCTTCTCTCTTCCCTAGAGCTCTGAGGGTGGGTAAAACCATGAGTCCCAACCTCCAGATTCCAAGTCTGGCTCCAGACAACTGCTGTTCTCCTTAGATGGGGAACTTCATCAACACAAATGAGAATTATTTGCAACAAATTCCAAGGGTTTGAGGAGCTAAGAGCCAGGAGTAAAATATATTTTGGCCATCTGATGGGTGTTGGTTTTGGGGCCACACCCAGCAGTGCTCAGGGATCACTCCTGACCCGGGGTGAGGGGTGAAGCAGGGTGGAGGACAGGAAACCATAAGGCTAGAGAATGAACCTGGGTCTGCTGCGAACAAGGCAAACACCCTAACCACTGTGCTATCTCTCTAGCCCCTGGTACATACTTCTTACAAACCACTGTATCCCAAGTTTAAAAGACGGAGCCATTCAGAGGGGACCCTGGCTAACTAGTCTGGACAAATTTGGATGGTTACTTCCTTACTGACCTGGGAGACAAGAACAAGTTTCCGCTAAGGTGAGTTCAACTTAAAAAATTGGAAAGAGACCCCTGTGCATTGCTGGGTATGACCCAAAAAGCAAAAAACAAAAAACACCAACAACAACAAAAAAGGGGAGGAGGGGGAGGTTGGTACCCAGAGGTACTCGAGGCTCTCTCTTGGCTCTATGCTCAGGAATGACCCTTACTGGGCTAGGGGGAACCACATGTGGTGCCAGGGATCAAACCCAGTGACACGTGGTAGAGAAGCAGCCTACCCACTGCACTACTGCTATAGCCCTAACTTTAGTAATGGTCAATTTAAGTGGGTTTTTTTGGTGCTATGGGAGAGAAAAAGTCAGGTGAACAAAATCATCCAGATCCAGCAGCTGACTTGGGCTGCAGACAAGCTTTGGGCGCTGTTATATGTGAAGCCACGAGTGTCAGGTCATACATCGGGTCTGTTTCGGGCCAGAGTCAATCTATCAAGTCCTGGTTAGAGATGGGACTGAAATCCAACTCTCCCAACTTGATTCCTCCGAATCTATAAGGCAGAATGTAAGATGCTGATGAAGTGCAGGAATGGCATCCTGGAACTCTACGGTGACTAGATCCAATGAACTGTTCCCTGCTCCTGGATCAGCAGGAAAAAACACCCCTGAGAAAGAGCAGACCAATAAAGGTTGGGAGATATTTATTTTTTTAAACAAGGTCATAAATAACAAATAAAGTAGGTCCCAGACTCCAGACCGTGCAGCAGGACAGGTAGAGGAGGTTGGTGGGCGACAGGGTGGAGAGCATGGCTTACGCAGCACACAGAAGTGATGGGCTTCAGAGCCGTCCCCGCCCTGCCTGGGAAGGGGCGAGCCTGGTAGCAGGGGAGGCTGCGGCACTATAGGAAGCAGCTGGAAGAAGGCAAAGACTGAGGGTGCTGGGCGTTCGATGAGGAGCGACATGGATTCCACACACAGTGAAGATCAGCTATGGGTCTAGAAGAGGAGAGCGGGCACGCTGCATACCTCCAGGGACCGATGATGAAAATGGTTCAATTGGACTCTTAAAAACAATTCCACAGCTTCAGGCTGAGGCTTTGTGCATGGGCTGTTCTTAACCTGGGTTGTTCTGTGGCAGGTGAGGGGAGCAGCCTGGCCTCAGCCCAGGGCAGGTGCCCAGTGGGAGTGGGACGGGGGGGCCATGTGCTTTGACTGGCCGGACCTGGTTTTCAGCTGGTTTCTTGTGATGCAATCCACCACCCCTCCCTGCACAATGAAAGATGAGAGGGATTCGGGCCTCTCTGGGTCCTCCAAGCCTGGAAGAGTAAGACTAGATAAAAATGTACCTGACTGGTATTTTTTGAAAGGGGTGGGGTGGGAATAAGAACCACCCCCTGCATGGCCTATCCTGTATGGCAGAGCAGGACCATGGAAGAACAATTCCAAAGAATGGAGGTCCCTGAGTCTGGGGAGACATTTGGACCCAGGTGCATTGCCCAGTGCCAGGAAGAGGGGCCAGGGTAGCAGTTCTGATGGTGGCTTCACCCTTGGCGAGGCTGGGAGAACTGGCAGGAGCTGCCCCCACACAGGGAAGGGGCAGGAGCTGGGGACCTCGGGCTGGGGAGGCCAGCGTCGGTCAAGGACCCTGAAAAACAATGCGTTTGGCAGGAATACACACAAGGGTTTGTACATCTGGGGGTGCCCATCTACAGGGAGCCGATGTCACGAGGCTGGGCAGGGCGGTAAGGAGACAGCGGCATCACAGTGGCCTCTGGTGCAACGTATTTGAACAGCTCAATGTTGAAGGAGGGAGGGACGAACGGCAGGTCACTAACAGCCAGGAAACACACTGCAAAATGGAAGGAAGGCATAAAACCAAAGTGACGATCACAAGCTTTCTTCTCGCTTCCCTGCCTCCTCCAGGAAGCCCTCCCTTACGAACACCAAGGCCCACATCTCCCCACAGTCTCACTCAGAGTAAGACACGGGGTCTGCTCACTCTGTACTGACGATTGGTCCAAGGCTCCAAATGATCCAGGGGCCCCATCAATCACTGTTTGCTAAGAGAAATAAAATCTTTACTGATCTCTGGGGTCCGTCAATGGCCTGTTGCCTGAGAGGCGTCACGTCCCCAATGCTCGCCCTGCCTGTCATCCTCGCCTTCCTCCCAGCACTGCGAGCTCTCCACACACAAGTCTTTCCCTCCTTTTCAAACCCTAAGTAAGAGTGCAGGTCAATTCCCCAGCGTCCTCATCAAAGTCTGGTAAGAGCCTTCCTAGTGGGTCGGGGGGTTCCCTGAGGATTAGACTTGCAGGGCCAGGAGCCTGGCCTGGGCCACTGTGTTCTCTCCTTCCTCCTCAGTCAAGAGCCCAGCTCTGTCTTTCCAACCAGGTGAAAAGCACCTGGGGATGAGACACATCCTTCCTTCTTCCTCTCATCCAATATTTCCAAAGGAGACAGTGCCACTGAGCGTTGGAATGATTTGCGTGCGTGGGGGGAGGTGGGGAGGAAAGGAGGGGAAGGGTGGTAGCAGACTCAGGTGCAACTGGGGGATGCTGTTTGCTTACTTAAAATAGGGTGCATTTCCAGGGGAGTGCTCTCTGTGTGTGTGTGCACGCGCGCACACACATATTTATATTTATAAATAATGTATTTATCTTGTAGTGGTAGGCCACATGAGTTTGGAAAACCTCATTTGGTAAAATAAGGGTGATTTTGCTTCCCTGGAGAAACTGGGTGAAAGGGAATGAGGTACTGTTGGCCAAGGATGTTGCTGAACATTCCACATTGCACAGAACAGCTCCCCACCACAAAAAATTTAACTGCCAACAAACGGCAACAGTGCCAGGGGAAGACCCTGCTCTGGATGTCTCTCTCCACAACACCCACAGCCCACTCAACTTTCTGAGCAGCAAGATAGGAGTAGGCACACAGGCTACTGGGAGAGTAGGCACAGAGAGTCTGGGAGAGCACGGATCCCACCCCAGCACGTCCAGAAGTGCTCCTCATAATAGGCAATCTGGAGGGGGACTTCATTATATTTTTCCTTTTTCTGTTTAGGGATCATACCCGAGAGTGCACAGAGTTTACTTCCGACTCTGTGCTCAGGGACCACTACTTGTGGGGGATGGAAGAACCTATGTGGTGCCAGGGATAAAATATGGGTGGAACACATGCAAGGAAAGTTGCACTCTCTGGCCCACCAGGCACACTTTAAGGTCTGCTCGACCAGAGTCCACAGAAACAAGCATCCATGTGGCAACACACAAGCCAGGCCCCACGCTGAGAAGCAAACGTAGTTTGGAGACCCAAGCTATGCAGGAGTAAAGCAGAGATATGTGCAACTTTTTGCAAAAAATTTGCAAAATCTTTTTTGGAGGGAGGGAGGATCTGGGGCGGGGGGCTGGAATTTGTTGGCATCCTTACCACTGAAATCCGCCGATAGGCTCTGCAAACCTGTGTCGGATCAGGAAAGCAGCGACAGCTTCAGCTACCTAGAGAAGAGGTACATGAGAACAACATCAGTCCTGGAGGGCCCGGGGGATTCTCGAAAGGGGAGGCTCAACTGTGGCCTCTTGAGGCCCACAGACAGGGGAATCGGACCCAAAAGGACTCGCAGTCCTGGCAGGGCTAGGAAACTTCCCCACCATTTTTGCAAGGGATGGCTGCAGGGAAGTCAAGAGAAATGACGTGGGGCCCACAGAGGTAGCACAGTGGGTAGGACGCTTGCTTTGCATGTGGCCGACCCAGGGTTAATCCCCAGCACCACATATGAGCCCTTCAAGCACCATCAGTAGTGATTCTTGAGCAGGACTGCCAGGTATGGTCAAAATATTAAAAATAAATAAAATAGAGATAAAGAGATATGATGTGAAGGAATTATCGTTTCAGAATCACAAAGCACTTTTCCTATAGGAGGAGGTCAGATTACTTCCTGTGACTGTTGTTTAGGGAGTTGTTTCTAGCTAAATAATTGCTTCTCTCTGGCTTTTGGGTAATGGAAAAACAAGCTTCTCATTTGACCTCTAGGGTCCTGAGGGAAAAGCAGGGTGCCGGCAGTGCTGCAGCCCATACCCGCAAGCCAACACCACAGGCACTGCACAAGGAGCTCTGGGAAACTGCAGTTCCACAGCAGCTGCTGCAGGCCGACCAGTTCTAGCTTCTGCTTTAGTCATCACGCACCAGACTCACCTTGTCTGGGGCATCTTCGTGGACTGCATGGCCACACTGGGGTAGGACCTGCATCTGGAACTTCCCTAGAGAAGAAACAGATTTAAGCACCCTCAGGGACGAACTGCCAATTCTCAGCCACTGCGGCAGCCTCCAGGTCTCCCCAGGAGTCCTAGCCCTCCCCTCGCCCCGTTTATCACAACTTCGAGCAAATCATTTCACTTCACTATTTCTGCAACTATTTCCTATGTATGCACTTTGAACCAGACAAAAAGGAACAGTTCTTGATCGTCCTCAGTGACTTAAAAGTCTAGACAGAAAGCAATTTTAAGCACAGCAAGTAGTTCCTATGATCAATCTGAGTGTTACAGGAGAGCTGAGGAACAAGGAATCAGGAAAGGTTCCCAGGACAGGAAAAACAGGCTGCACAAGGGGAATGAACAGGATGGTCACAATGCGCCAGGAAGGCAAGCAGGGGCCATAACTGTATGGGTTTGGGAGCGACGTTAAGATTCTGAAGTTTAGTATCACACTAGGTCACTTGGAGTGTTTTAACAATGTGCCAGACACGACTAAATAAGCACTTTTCCAAGCCGTGGAACTATAGGTTCGCAATTAATGCGACAGCTATTAAGTGTGAAGAGAGAAGGGTAAAGCTAGGTTCTTCATGAAAGGTAGTGGGACCAGGAGCTCCCACAGGTAGAGAGCAAACTCTCAGAGCCTCGGTGACTCCATTGACAGAGACAGACTTAAGTGCTGCAGTTCTGGTCATCGCATCCTTGAATCTTAGCACAGTCACAGACCTTTGAAAAGTTTCAAAATCTCCTTTATCTGCTTTTTTCCTTCTTTCAATAGGGGCCATACCTGGCAATACTGGGGGGCGGAGGGTGTGGTCCTTGCTAAGGCCTGTGCTCTACCACTGTGGAACTCTCTGTTTGTCCCACAGCTGAGGACAATCTAATCTGACTAAGGGGACTGAATTAACCCAAGAACTCAATACATGGGAGGTAAGTACTCTACCACTGGGCTGCACCCCCAGCTAGCCATTTTGGGGGATGGGGAAGGGAGTCAACAAGAGGCGCACCTAGTGGTGCGTGGGAGACCATACAGTGCTAAGGGTTAACTCAGATTCTTGGACACGCACGGCAGCCTTTGAGCAATCTCCCCAGTCTCCCAGCAACCCATTTTCTTCATTTATTCTCTATTCTACTCTAAAACGTAAGACAAATATTGACATCCCTTTTCTTTTAGTTATTTTTTTACTTTTTGTTTGTTGAAAACCTTTTGGTGAGATGATGAAACCAAAACGATTCCATTTAGTTAAGTTGCCCTGGGGACCCAACCTATCCTCTCTCACTTATACATCCTAAGGTACTATTTTTAACGCATTAGGATCCTAACAGCTGTGTGTGCTTAAGTGAGAATGAATGATGAGTGAACAACCAGATTCCAACTTAGAGTTCTAATGCCCTGGCCCTATTAGATAAGTCTCAGAATAGGAGGCATGTATTTTTAACACCTCACTGGAAGAAATCAATTATGAGAATTAACCCGTGATCATGTCAGTACACATACACTGACATGATCACGGGTTAATTCTCATAATTCCTCTATAAAGTGAAAATATTTCTAAACTCAATTCTACTATCTTACACAGATGAGAAACCTTTAGGATCAGTGGATTTTTTTCACCAAAACTGCATCATGAATAAGCAGCAGGTTTCTAGTATTTCATAACTGTTTCAACTGGCTTGAACACAGTACTGACAGGCTGTGGTTGGTAATCTGTGCCAGCCTAGACATTTCCCTTTGCTTTTAGGGTATCCTTCAACCAAGCCATTTATTCTCTATACCCGTGAGATGCTTTGAAAAAGAAGACAGTGTTGGCAAAATCCTTACTGGAAGAAATAATGGTATAAAATGGAGAATCAGCATCACTTGTCAGACACTTGACCCACATTTTATCATTTAAAATCCACACAATTATACTGAAATCCATCATTTCTATTTTATAGAGATGGATTCAAGATTAAAGAAGCCAACAATTCATTCATTCCACAAAATTTTTTAAATTCTCTTTAAAATTTCTGCAGGGATAGGCTTGGCTGTGACCTATCTGCTCAGCATCAAGCAAAAGTCTTGTGCAGAAAAAGTGTTAAGAAAAGATTTGCTTGAACTGAATTTGAAGAAAGGGGTCTAAGTTCAGAATTATCAATACCAGTATATCCCCAGCTTAATACTGTACTCTAGACTCAGAATAATATTTAACTGGAGGAAGGGAAAGGTCTGAGCGGCGGATAAATTATTCAGGAGTCTTTGAACACATAATTGTGGCAGATTATCACTCCTTTTCCCCATAAAGCTTGCACTGAGAGCAAAGAACAGTTTGAGGGGTCCAAGAAACATGCAAGTAGACATGGCCAGCAGATTAGATACTAAGAGTAGGCCTAGAGCTGAGGAGAGAGCTATGGGTTGGAAATTTTATTGGGAGCTAGTAGGGTATAAAAAGAAAGCATGAGTGAAACTAGAGAGAGAAAGTGGAGTAAGTACAAAGTCAAAAGAAAGGCCAAGTTGGGGAGTACCTGGGAGCCTGCCACAAAGAGTGCCCTTCACTGTTTGTCTGTGTGTCTGCCCTGAAGCCCGAAAGCCCTGGTCCCCTCGCTCCCTCTCTCACTTCCCCTGTGCTAATTGGAGTGACCGAGAACAGACAGATGGATAAACTATGGTACATCTACACAACGGAATACTACACAGCTGTTAGGAAAAATGAAGTCATGAAATTTGTCTGTAAATGGATAGACTTGGAGATTATTCATGCTGAGTGAAATGAGTCAGAAGGATAGGGGCAGATACTGAATGACCACATTCATTTGTGGGATTATTAAAAAACCACCACAACAACACAGTATTAAACTAATATCCAACGCCAAGGAAAATGGGCCAGGAAGACTGGTCAATGGTGGGTCAATGGTGTGGGAGACGGAGGGTAGTTAAGACAGAGGAGGGTCCATTATGATCATAGTTGGCAATGATCACTCTGGAGAAGAACTGAGTGTTGAAAGCAGGTAAAGGATATAGATGATAACCTTTCAGCATCTGTATCGCAAACCACAATGCTAAAAATGAGAGAGAGGGGAGAGAGAGAGAGAAACAGACAGACAGACAAGAGAGAGAGAGAGAGAGAGAGAGAGACAGACAGACAGACAGACAGACAGACAGACAGACCAGGCTGGGGTGGCAGGTGGTTTGAAGGGGTCGGAGGGAAACTGAGGACACAGGTGCTGGGAAATTATACTGGTGGAGGGATGGGTGTTGGAACATTATATGACTGAAATGCAATAATGAACAATTTTGCAATGCTCTATCTCACGGTGATTCAATAAAAATAAAAATTAAAAAAAAAGAAAAGAAAAAAGAAAAGCCAAGAAGAGAATCTGCTTTAAGTCTGAGACCTTGGGGTTGGGAATTCTTTCCCTTAACCCACAGTTAAAATGCTGACAGATTTTACCTTCACTATGCCTTTCATGCACACCAGGAAAATCCAAAAGCCTACAAACTGGCCTCACAACTTCACTGTCATCTGGCCAACCTAAACTGGAGAGCAACAAGTTTCTCTCCTACTCTTTTGCCTCACCACCTATGAGGCTGCCATCGATCTTCTCATCTTACACACGAGAGAACCAAAGCTAAGGGGAGCTCAAGGCAAGATCAAAATATGAGTAGAAAAGAGCTAAACTAAAACTCAAGTCCTCCCAACTGCTGAGTCCTAGTTTATATCACACCTCGCCGCACTGTCCTCTACGGTTTGCTGTCTCTTTTATTCTCTTGGTTTGGGGCCACACCTAGCAATGCTCAGGGCTTACTCCAGCTCTGTGCTCGGAGATCACTCCTGGTGGTAATTGGGGGACCAAAGGTGCTGCCAGGGATCAAACTTGTGACAGTGTGTGTCCTATATTCTCTTTCTGTTCCTGCACCATTTTTCCTGTCTTTGGACCATACCTCGCAGTGCTCAGGGGTTAGTTATTCCTGGCTCTGCTCTCAGGAATCCCTCCTGGTGGGCTTGGAGGACCATATGTAATGCCAGATCACACAAAGGTCAGCAGGGTAAGCACCTTACTGGCTATACTATCTTTCTGGCCCACCCTGCATCTTTTTATATCTGAATTGTTATGGATATCTCTAAAAATTCTAATAAAAATAAAAATATGTGGGGCAGGGGGTGCAGGGACCTCCCCTTTCTCTTAGCTCTCCACTTGAGAGATCATATGTGGTGCCAGGGATCAAATCCGGGACAGCTGCTTGCAAGGCAAGCACTCTACCTGCTGTACTATTACTCTGCCCCCAGAATACTTTATAATGCGCCTATCAACAATATCTTATTTTAATATATAAAACTCTGGGAAACAGGAGGTAGTCAAACTATTTTTAGATGATTAAAAAAAAATTGAAGCCCAGGACTGCACATGAATGGGAAACACTTACTTGCCTATAGTCAGAGTGGGTCAGAAACAGAGATGGATGTCAGTTCGGTCTGACCCCAAAGCGCATGCTCTCTCTTCACTGCTTCAGGCACTCACCATCTTAGAACATTAACTTCTATAGGACTGTGCTCCTTCCTTTGCCCTCAGAGAACTCAGAATGTAATGTCTTGATTACTTACCTTGCATTTGGCCAATAGTCAGATCTTTATCCAATCTATCAACACCTAAAATAAGAGAATTCTTAAGTAACTTACTAGAAATGATGTGAAAATAAATTCTGCTATTTAAGTATGAAGTAAAATTGTTACAGAGTTGTATATATGGTGACGCTCTCAATTTATGCTAAGGTCTAGCTTAACCCCGACGGTAGACTCTCAGAAGAAACTTTGGAGGTTCGCTGCAATCATTCTGCTCATTTACTTTTGAACAGGAAACATGCCCACTGGGGTCCCTGGCACTCCAGCACCAGTGTCTCTCCTAGTGATGATGTGCCTGGTGGTGTGGTCATGATATACCCAGGGGCCACCAGGCCACCCAGAGATCCTCAGAGGCCAGCCATATGGTACCAATTACATGCTGGGCATGTGCTTTACCCACCTAAACTATAGTCCTAACCAGTTTTACTTTTTCGTTTTTTCATTATACTCTGAATATCCTCACATGCAATAGGAGAAAGACTTGGGCTTGACCAGGCATGGAAGCCACATTAGAATCAGCCCATCCTAGGTAGATGCTTAAGCTCTAGTTAAGTTGAGGTATTTGGCAGGGGGAGGAGAGTGGGCTCCGATAAAGGATAAAAGCACTTTCGAGATCATTTACCAAGTAGTTTTAACAGGGAGTTACATACATGACAATAGATTTACATTACTATAAACAGAATTGTGGGTTTCAAAATAAAGTATTATGGATATAAGTAATTTTTGGTAAATAAGGAATTAAGATTAATTGGGCAATAGGAGTGTGACTCTCATAAGACAGAATTACTGTCTTTTTAAGAAGAAATCCCCAGAGCCTGCAGTTTTCATTTTCTCTCTGCCATGTAAGGACATGACAAGGGAGTACCTGAAAGCCAGGAAGAAAGTTCCATCAGAATTCAACCATGCTAGTGCCCTGATCTCAAGATTCCCAACTCCAGAACTGAGAAGATTAATTTGATGTTTAAGCCACACAGCCTGTGCTATTTTGTTATCGTAGCCAGAGATAACTAAATCATATGTATGTATGTGTGTATATTTAGACTTACCAGCCAAGAGCAGCAATTTAGGAATAGGACAACTAAGGAAGAGATTGGATAATCCTCGGAACCAGCCGTCCCAGTATTTTTCTGTTTTTGCCAGCTCAATTCTCCAAGTGTATGGATGATCTTTCTTGGTCTGGAGAAATGAAAGCAAATTCTGAACAACCGCTAAAGGAACAGAATAAAAACTAGGCCCCTGGGTAAAAGGGAAAAAAACCAGAACTTTTTAAGGGCCACAATGTCCCAGACAACTGAAACTTTTTAAAAGAACCATTATTTACAAAGTAACAATATTTCAACAGCACTGGTGGTGGAAAATGGGCACTGGTGGAGGGATGGGTATTTGATCATTGTATAATCGAAACCCAAGCACAAAAAATTGTAAATCTACAACTGTACCTCATGGTGTTTCACTAAAAATTAAAAAAAATAAAAATAAAAAAAATAATACGTTAAAAAAATAAAAACTGAGGCACAGGAGAGGAGGGATACTAAAATATCTAATGGTGGCCCCAAAAGGACCACACTATTTTCCCTACTGCACCTCTGCACATTCTTAACCATTCTCTCACATTCTTAACTTTCCTTCCAAGAATGCAGGCCATCACTCACCTCTATGTCATCTTCCTTTTTCCTCTTATTTACTGACTCACTTCCTTCTTCATCTTCTTCCTCCTCCTCTATGATTCCTTCCACAATAGATTTTGAGCATTCTGGACTTGTAATTCCTTCACACCTAAGTTTAAGGGGAGAAAAAGTGCTATCACACGACTCTCTTCTATATACAAATTACTTCAAGATACTGACACGGGCTTTCTAAAAATTAAGAGTTAAGTGCATTTATACCATTAGAATGGTGCTTTTCTACTGTAGACTGCTGATAGTGGAACAAGGCTCAAATGAAATAATAGAAGGCCCCAAACTTTTTAATTTGACCCAACCCATTATTGCCATTTTCCTCCCCCAAAATGCTCTCTTCTTACTGTATAATTAGGTAGAAGAATTGTTTTGTGAACAGCTACCACCATAATTTCTTTTACATTGGAAGAAAAAACATTGACTAGCATTGAAAGTAAAACTCTCAATAAGCCAGGTGGCAGCCAGTGTCAGTCTTTGTTATGCATGATTAAGAAGGATCTATTAATTTGCCCTTAGCCCGGCAAGCTACCGAGAGTATTCAATATGCCAGACACAGTAACAACAGAGTCTCCAATGGAGACGTTACTGGGCCCGCTCGAGCAAATCGACGATCAACGGGAGGGCCTTTACTTTACTTTACTAAGGAGCTAATGGAAAAGGAGAGACGGGATAAGAGAAAAATTTATCCCCAAATGAAATGAAGGGTCAGTAAAACTTCAGTGATAGATTAAAAAAAAAAATTAAAGATTCCAGAGAGAGATAGTACAGCAGGTGGCCTCACATGAGGCCAGCCCAGGTTTAATAACTGACACCACTTATGGTCCCCTGAACATTAGCAGAATGATCCCTGAGCACTGAGATAAAAATAAGCCCTGAGCATCACCAAAAGTGACCCAACCAACCCCATAAAAAATAAAACCAAATGAGTATTTTGTGTTTCATGAAACATTGCTACAATTGTGTTAATATTTATGGGTTTGATGTACAAATAATTTACTGCTACCCCACCACTACTGTGCCAAGATATAGCAGTGGCGTTTTCAGAACAGAAACACATTTCCTGTTTTCTTCACTAAACTTTTGGAATGTTCATAGATGTTCTTGTTGAGTGAGGATTTTCTTTGTTTTAGGTTTGGGGGCAGGAGAGCCAATGGTGCTGAGAGGATCATGAGGTGCTCAAATCCAGAAACACTGGTATGCAAACCATGAGCTCACCCATGAGCTATCTTATTGGGTTGCTCTATAAAATATAAGGAGTTATTTCACATTTAGGTTAAAGCAGTAAGACAAAGAAACAAGTTTGAATTTCTACAGCTGTGAATATTAAAATTCAAGAGAATTTTACCTAGAATCAGGAAGATTCCAGCTGATAGCGAAATGATAAAGCACCACTCATAAATGAGTTTATGAAATTCAGAAACCACCACTTCAGGTAAAAACTTCAGATCATGGAACTGCTTCTTAGCCATGTAACATCCTTATTAAAAGCCTTTTCACTATTTTTTTAAGAGGAAGGTCTCAAAATACTTAGGCACTGAGAAGCAAATAATTTCATACTTTATTGAAAGCACTTGCATTGTGTCTGCCTGATTTACTAGTCAAATTACTCTTGTGTTTTCCATGTTACAGACATTAAAGTCAAATATATAAAAGTGTGACTGATCTATCATCATTTATATGTGTACTCCTGGGAGTCACTTTCCTGAACTTTGATTTTCTCAACAATACAGTAATAGGATTAAATCAGACTGAAGAGATGAATAAACGAATGCAGATAATGAACCCCAATAACTACTAACATTTTCTAAAAAAAAAAAATAGACAACAGGGCATATGTGTTTCGTGACTGCAGTGCACAAGTATCACCTATCTTACAAACAAAAATATGAAACAACAAAACTGAACTTGATCAAATCTCTGGATCTAACCAATAATTCACAGCCAAACAACACAGGAAACAAGGGAACATGTTAAATTACACCTTGAGGAGCCAATTAGCAATTCCAGATATTGGATAATTCTTTAGGGCAAACAACCATTTTTCCTCAACAAATAAATTGTAAGGAAAAGGAGAAGTCAATCCTTTATCTCAAAAGGTACTTAACAGTATATCAAACAATTGCTATGTATCTCCCCTAGTGTGATTCTGATCTGAACTATTTAAAAAAATGAGACAAACAATGTGAATACTGCACTAGAGATTATATTAAGGAACTGTATTTGTAGATATAATATAGAAATTAAAAATTTTAATGGCATGGTCTCTCTATATATATTATGACATATGTGAATATTATATATTTTATGTGTATATGTTATATATGTATACATGTGTGCATTATATATGTATACATATATGAATATTGTATAATATAGAGACAATACAGAGACCATGCCATTAAAATATTTATATATCTTGCACAAAGCTTGACAAGTAGCAGGCATTCATTAATGCCATTATCATTTTTAGCAACTCTTGTGCCCCCTGTCTATTCTGTTGGGCACCATTTTCTCAATTCACCTAAAATTTATTTTGTGACTAACAGAAATACTTAGGATGTATGTAATCCTATTGGGGAAGATCAACTGGGCTAAATAATCTTCACTTGTCCTTAGAATGCAATTTCCACTGTAGTGAAAGTTGATTTGTTACTGTTGTTTTGGTCACAACTGGTTGTGTTCAGGTGGTGTGCTTCACTCTGCACTCTAATGGCGGGGTGCAAGAGACCATCTAGGATGCCGGGGGTAAACCCAGTTGGGTGAGTGCAAGGCCAGCACCTGACCACTTTACGATCTCTCCAGTCACGACAAGAAAACTATTAGCAGAATGAAACATGAAACCAGATCTGCCAGCATTACAGTAAACTTTGTTTTCTTTCTGCAGTCCTGGAGGCCTCAAAAACTCAAGGCAGCTCTACTGCTGAGGCACATTCCCAGACCTTGAATGCTTAACTTTTACTGCTGATTTTTCTTAGAGCTGTGCCAAAAAGATGTTAGTTTTATACAGAAGACTTTGGGATTCTTTTTTTTTAAAAAAAAGGAAAGAAAATCTAGTACAATTAGTTCAACTAAGCTCAGTTGTTAAAATTATGGAAATTAATGAAGACACTGACTAGGAGAGGAGTAGAGGTGTAGAGGCAAGTGACCAAGAGCAATCCATTTGTTACTCTCACCATGTCTCAGCCCGAGGGGGTACCTACTGTTTGACTTGGCCAACCATGGATACACGGGCAGACTCCAAATTTCTAATCTGGCCACTCTTTACACTAGAAAAGAAAGGAGAGAATAGGTTAAATAGCATCTAATTTATCACCTCGCTAGGATCAAATTCTTCAGACTTTTGGGGTTACCTTCCTCAGATTCTAAGTTAAGTAAGTCAAAATTAAGTACAGACATTCAAGTCATTTCAGTTCTGCAAATATTTTACTAACAGTATATTATGTACCAGGCCTGGTTCAAAAACACAAACAGGTCATTTTAGCACAGGAAGGCAAAGTCCAAAGTAATCATTTTATTCTGAACACAAAGGTTGAGGCTGGAGAGATACTACAGCAGATAGGGTGCTTGCTTTATAAGTGGCTGACTCTGGTTTGATCCCCTGCACCACCAGGAGTGATCCCTGAATACAGAGCCAGGAATAAACCCTGAGCACAGCAGGTATGGCCCAAAACCAAGAATAGTAATAAAATGAGAACCGAGGAAGTTAAACTAAAAGGGTGATGATGTGAAAGTCGAGATGATGATTTTTAAGAGGACAGAGTACACGAAGCGAAGTGGGGGGCAAAGGAGCAGTGTGATACAACCAGATAAATAGGCGAGAGGAACTAGTTCTTAGAAGATTAACCATGTCATAATAGAGCTGACAAGGTTAGACTTGGATCTTCACAGAATCTTGACACAGTTGCCCAACTAAGTATACCTAAGGACCAATCAAAAGGATTATATCCCAAATGAACTGAAAGTGCCAATGGAAACAGGCAACCAGAAGAACACGTCTTTAAATCTTACGATAGCCAGAATCTGGAAAAACCTGAGTGCCCGAGAACAGATGACTGGTTAAAGAAACTTTGGTACATCCACACAATGGAGTACTATGTAGCTGTTAGAAAAGATGAAGTCATGAAATTTACATACAAGTGGTACTACATGGAAAGTATCATGCTAAGCGAAATGAGTCAGAAAGAGAGGGATAGACATAGAAAGACTGCATTCATCTGGGGAACATAAAGTAACAAAATAGGAGATTAACACCCAAGAATATCTGAGATAAGTACCAGGAGGTTCACTCTATGGCTTGGAGGCCAGCCGCACACGCTAGGGGAAAAGGCAGCTCAGATAGAGAAGGGAGCACCAAATAAAGGGTGTTGGGAGGACCCTCCCAGGATGGGAGATGCATGCTGAAAGTAGACTATAGACCAAACATGATTGCCACTCAACGCCTCTTTTGAAAACTACAGCACCCAAAAAGGAGAGAGAACAAAAGAGAATGCCCTGCCACAGAGCTAGGGTGGGATGGGAGGGATGGAGGGTGGGAGGGATACTGACATCACTGGTGGTGGAGAATGGGTACTGGTGGAGGGATGGGTACTCGATCATTGTATAACTGAAACCCAAGTACAAAAATCTGTAAGTCTACAACCTCATGGGGTTTCACTAATAAAAATTAAAAAAAAAAAAGTATCAAAATTTAAAATGCGCCCCTCAAAGGCCAGAGAACTAGCACTGCAGAGAGGGTGATTGCCCTGCATGCAGATGATCTGGGTGCGATCCCTGGCACACCCTATGGTCCCCAAGTCTACCAGGAGTGATTCCTGAGTATATAGTCAGGAGTAAACCCCGAGGACTACTCAGTGCAAAAAAGAACCAAAATGTACCCCCTTAAGTAATGATAATTTTAAAAATTACTATTTTATGAAATAGAAGTAATCAGAATTAAAACTGCAGTTTTGTAATTGTAATTTTTAAATTTTATTTTATAAAGTTTTCACAATGATTTATTACATTCAATATTCCAACACCAATCCCATCACCAATACACTTTTTCATCACCATTATTTCCAAGTTTCCTAACCACCACCCATGCCTGCCTGCATTTAGCAGATCCTAAATGGCTTATTTTGTATTGCCTGTTATGAATCATTCACTAAAAATGATAAAAAACGACTTCCTTAAAAGAAAATGTGTGAAGATTGTTGTATCCCACCCTGAAGCCTGTATAAGAGATTACTAACATGTTGAGCCCTGTGTGCTAATATTTTCTTAATCAAGATTGGCTGCCTTCTACTTTATATTCCATCCAATGTGATGTGTTACTCCAGGTGTATCAATAGAGTATGAGATGTTTGCGGCTATGTGCACTAGGAACTCTAAAACAATTGTAATTTTTATGAAAATAATTAACATAAATAATGAAATAATGAAAATAATAAATTTTTAAAATTTACCCCAAAACTCAAAATTTGGGAAAGAAACCAATACCACGCTTCTCCATTCCTCCGTAACTTTACTAGAATACACGTGAATATAATCAAAGATGGAAAAGACTTTTAAGTCTCATTTTGTCTAAGCTCTCTTCTTTTAAGCGGGAACAGCAGATTAATAACATTCTAAGTGATACTACAGTATGCTGGAAAAAGTGGAAAAAGGATGGGTTTAAGGCAACTCAGTCAACTCTAAAATATTTAAAATATTTTTTAGTTTTCTTTTTATGAAATGTGTTCACTGCTGACATTACATAAAAGTAAGGCTTAGAAATAAAATTTCTATTCCTCGCCCGCTCCTCTCTGGAAAGAAAGATGGCGGCCGCAGGGGAGCCTTGTGGACAGCAGATTTGAGCCGGGGGTGGGGGTGGCAGGGACATCATGGGAAGGGGGGCATTCCAGTCCGTCCTCCACGCCCGACCGAGGTCACCAGTTGCCCCCCACGAGCGGCTCTCCGGCACGGCCACGGCCCCAGAGCACAGAAACCAATCTCTTAACTATCTAACTTTTAATAGAAATACTTCCAGGGTTAATAAGTAAAATAGCAGAAATCCAAAACCGCAATAGCGGCCGCGCGACATCATTTAACTCTTAAACCCAGCTGTAGAAAGCAAATCATTTCACAATGCTTTCTCAGCATGTCTGATTTGGGGGGGGGGGGGGGGGGGGTCGTAAACTCTAAATAATAATGGTGCATCTTTTATCGAAACAATGAATCTAGTCAAAGTAGATAGAGTGTTAACTAGAACTCATCTGCCTCACAGGAATTGGGAGGGGTGGGAGGTGGGGTTCTATTGGGGTTCGCGGTAAAAAATAAGTATTGGTAAAGGGAAATGTGTTTGATATTTACATGACTGAGACCTAAACCTGAAAGCTCTGTAACTTTTCCCACAGTGATTCAATAAATAAATAAATTATAAAAAAAAATTTCTATTCCTTTGAACTCAGTACTTGGGTTGATGAAGCTACAGTCTAACATTTAGATAGAGCAAATGTAGATTTATGTGTTACCTCCATTCAATGGCATTCTCTAGAGATGTGAAGGTCTTAGGACGACCACGTAAGAAATTCTGCATGCTGTTGAGTGCATCCATGGCTGTCCCTAGAAGTTAAACAAAAGCGTGAACCATACAGACTTCTGAGCATTTACCAGTTCAATTGTACACAACTGTCCTCAATGAGAGCAGGACTCAGCACAATCTAGAGAGGAAACATCCAGATTGAGAAATGATTTTTCAGCAGGGAAAGCACTTGCCTTGCATGTAGCCAACCTTGGTCTGATCTTCTGTCTTTTGTTCTTTCTTTTTCTTTTTGGGTCACACCCAGCGACGCACAGGGGTTACTTCTGGCTCTGCAGTCAGGAATCACCCCTAGCAGTGCTCAGGGGACCATATGGGAAGCTGGGAATTGAGCCCGGGTTGGCCGCGTGCAAGGCAAACGCCCTACCCGCTGTGCTGTTGCTCTAGCCCCGTCTTCTGTTCTGTCAAGTGGAAGACCTCCTTTCAACACTTAATGCAGAACAACTCGGGTGGTGATACGCTCCATTAGATTTTATTTGAAAAAGTATTTGTCATATCTGAATAACGATTCTGTAAGACAAAGGATTCCTTCGTGACAATTTTTGTCTTTTGGTAGTATGAATGAATATGCCATTGTACTCTCACAGCCTGTAATATTTCTGCGAGGAGTCTGATAAAAGCTTGAGAGATGCCACTGTAAGTTCTTTCTTTTCCCTAGGAGTATTCAGTTTTTCAAAGACTCATCAACCTTTCATAATTTAGCAGTTATGTTTTGGTAAAGCTCATTCCCTCCGTCCCCCCCAGAGGGACCAAATCCAAGACCTCAACTAGGGAAATAAGTGCTTTGGCTGAGTCATAGCCCAGGGCCTACTGTAGGTTACTTTTGATGAAAATGTGAGTCTTCTCTCAGCTTTCTCTGGTTACTTTTCTCCACAAATTTGGAAAATTTCAACTATTATTTGAGTATGATCTTCGCTCCCTTCATTCTCTCTCCACCTTCTAGGACTCTAATAATTTTAAATGTTTCCCCTTCTAAGGGAGCCCAATATTTCTCATAGATTTCCTTCATTTTTTTTTACATCTATCCTCTTCTTATTTGATTACTGTTGTGATTTATTAGTTCTTCAATTCTTTCTCCTATTGAAACTTCATGTTACACTTAATTTTATTCTCTGTGCTCTTCATTCCACTATCTGTTTAAAATTTTTTAATATCCTGTCTCTGTGGCGCAGAACTTCTTGTGCTGCTGTGTTCTTGGTATCTTGAACTTGCTTCTCTGCGTTTAGTTGATATTCTTTATCTTCATTAAGTTTTGTTATGATGAATCTTCTCTATTCTTTATCTGTCACTTCCTCCAGTTCTTTGCCTCTGGAGACCTAGTTTTTAGTAACCCCATTTTACTTTTGCACTGGTAGCAGGCAGAATTTTTTTGCTTAAGCCTCTGAATTACGTTCTTTTATTTTCCTGCAGGTGGTGCTGTGGCCTTAGAGTTGGAATTCACCTGTTTGCACAGTGAAGGGAAGAAGACTAAGGACTATGACAATGACTTGAGAAAATAAATTTAATGAATCGGGGGCCAGAGAGATAGCAGGTAAGACACTTGATGTACACATGGCTGACCTGAGTTCAATCTCTGGCATCCCATATGGTCCCCCAAACACCATCAGAAATGATTCCTGAGTGCAGAGCCAGGAGTAAGCTTGACTAAACCAAAAAAAAAAACAAAACATTTCAACAAACAAATTATAGTGCTACTCATGGTGTGGGGGTAGGGACAGAGAAAGTTTTCCACACTTCTCTATCTCTGGGTTTACTCCTGTCTCCTAATCCTGATATGCTTAGAGTCTTACCCTCAGGCCCCTACTGGATGGCTGCCCTGTTCCTTTCACAATTAGGGATACACATGTGCCTTGGCAAACCACCCCAAACTGTGTGGGACAAGTCTTTATCTGTGGTATATAGCAGATTTCTAAACGTATTTCAGTGGGGCTGGAATGACAGTACAGCAGGGAGGGCGCTCGCCTTGCATGCTGCTGCCCCATGTTCAATATCCAGCATTCCATATGCCAGGAGTAATTCCAGAGTGCAGATCCAGGAGTAACCCCTGAGGATCACTGGGTGTGACCACCCCTCCAAAAAAAAAAACAAGCCAAATGTATTTAAGCAGAAATCTGTTTGTTAAAGTCCGTTTCGCCATTTTTTGGAAGCCCAAGAGTTTTAGAAATATGGAGAACTGTTTATATAAAGTGGGTACATAGGTAAATGGGGGAAAGAGGAAAAGTGGTCAAAAGACACTGGATGGATGCACATCTCGGAGATGTAGAGTATGACCAAGATGATCTTAGTACTTTCCATCAGAGAAAAAAAAATATATATATATATTTGCTTTTTTTGGGTCACACCTGGCAATGCACAGGGGTGTTACTACTGGCTTTGCACTCAGAAATTATTCCTGGCGGTGCTCAGGGGGCCATATGGGATGCTGGGAATCGAACCTGCGTTGGCCGCGTGTAAGGCAAGCGACCTACCCACCGTGCTATCGCTCCAGCTCCCCCAAAATATTTTTAATTATATGGGGCAATGGCTATTAAAATGACATATTGTGGCGATCATTTTGCAATATATAGGCTGAATCATTATGCTGTATGCAAATTATATGTCAATTACAACTCCATTAAAAAAAGTTCCAGGGAAGTTTTTATCACAAAATTGTATTAACTGAAAAGATATGAAAGAATGTACTTCATAATGAGTGAAATCAATAAATTAAAACACAGTAACAGTAATCTGCCACAGATGTCCCTTAGACAGATTCTGATTTGGTGAATATTAACACTTACCTTCTACCACATCAATCATGCACAAACCCAGAAGGCTTGGCACTAGGTTGGATGATGCAGTGTGAACTGCAATAGCACCACCCATGCTATGTCCAATAAGCATAATTGGAGGAGGGAGGTCCCCATACATGGCTTCAACCACATTGCAAACATCTCTGCAAAGAGAAGGAGAAAAACTGAGAAAGCTTTCTGGCAACACTGTAAAAATGGTTTCCTACCTAACTCCTGCATTTGGTTATAACTCCAAGTCCTAGAAATTACAACGGTTCACTGAATTATCTTGCAAATCTACCTACATAATCACACCTCTTCCCCCAGTCTCCATCCATGTAACTACATTTCTAGTTCTCCTGGTAACTGGCAATTTAAGACTAAAACTCCAAAATACCTAATTTTCCTTTACTTCACTCTCACTATTATGCAACTTTGATTTTAATTCTAAACTAGAAATTTGGAACAAATCATAGAATGATTTTATGTTCTAGATTAGAACGAATCTATGTCCCAGTTTCCCTACCTATAATACAGGAAAACAATTTAATTATTAAGCATTATAATGCATTGAGGTTTGGGGTCAAAAGATGAACTGCAGACCCAGATTATTTGTCCTAAGTGAACCTGGATTAGCTATTTACTTTCGATCTGTATAAAATAAAGATAAGACTATCCATTTATGATCTGGGTTGCTTAGAGAACTTAGACAGTGAATATAAAACTGCTTTGAAAGGATTAAAGTACTATACAAATGTTAATTGCTATTTACATTTTGTCCTGTAAAGCTACTTGATGTCTGAACATAAAATGTAAGTACAGTACTCTGAGAAACTAGAAAGATGTTCACAACTAATTTTTACTGGCTTCTGTTCCTAGTCTTTAATTATAAATAGACCTGTTAATAAATACAGTGAAACCTTAAACCTTTGAAAATGAGACTGAAAAGTATCAACTTTGGTTTTTATTTGCATGCAGGCCTACTTTAGCAATAGTTATAAGTAGGTAAAGGTATGTCTCAAGACACCATTAATCTTTTGGGGGTGGGTGAGTCAGTCATCTTCAAAGGATAGTTCTGTCTTGCTGTGTTACTATATACACCTGAAGGACTGAGTCCAAATATAGTAGGTGTGGATATACATGCATAATCTTTCAGAAAAAGTTTCCATGGCTTTCATGATGGCAAAGGTAAATGACATTATTTCTGCAGTAATTACAAAACCTCATAAAACAATTACAGATTTCTCTATGGCATCTGCTAACAAACTGAATGTGAGACAAAGAATTTTCATAAATGAAAACAAACGATACTTTATACTCCTCTGGAACTCAATTTAAAGGTAAAACTTTTGGTGCTAACATGTAATGACTGAAATAGGATACTTGTGGAAAATTATCTACGTCTAGATCTCTAGAGATATACATTATGTTTTAGGCATGAAGGTGGATAGAATGTGAAACAAACCAACTTCATATGGTAGCTTGGGAATGATATATATTCAGATAAAAGAGAGATATGATCATTCACTCAAGTATCCACCACCAGGATAATTAACATTATTAGTCGAAGTATTCATTTACCAAAATAATTAACTGCTTTTCACAGACAAACGGGACCAAGAAACTTCTTAGCACCTCAAAAGAAACAGTGACCTGGCTGGAGCAATAGCACAGCAGATAGGGCGTTTGCCTTTCACGCGGCCAACCCGGGTTTGATTCCCAGCATCCCATATGGTCCCCTGAGCACTGCCAGGGGTAATTCCTGAGTACAGAGCCAGGAGTAACCCCTATGCATTGCTGGATGTGACCCAAAATGCAAAAATAAAAAAAGAAAAGAAAAAAGAAACAGTGACCAAGATACATAGACAGTCCATAAAATGGAAAAAAAATATTTACCCAGTACCCATCAGATAAGGGGCTAATATCTAAGATATTAATATCTAATATATTATAAGGCACTGGTAGAACTTTGTAAGAAAAAACCCTATCAAAAAATGGGGAGAAGAAATAAACAGAAACTTGCTCAAAGAAGAAATACAAATGGCCAAAACACACATGAAAAAATGTTCTACATCACTAATAATCAGGGAGAAGCAAATCAAAACAGTGAGATTATCACCGTATACCCAGAGACTGGCACACATCAAAAAGAGTTAAGAACAACCAGTGCTGGCGCAGATGTGGAGAGAAGGGGAATCTCATTCACTCTTGGTGGGAATGCCAACTGGTCCAGTCTTTTTCGGAAAACAAAATAGGTATTCCTCAAAAAACTAGAAATTGAGTTTACATATAATGCAGCAATACCCATTCCAGGAATAAACCCCCAGGTTGCAAAAACACACAGCAGAAATGAAATCTGCACCAGTATGTTCATTGCAGCACTATTCACAATAGCCAGAATCTGGAAACAACCTGAGTGCCCAAGAAAAGACAACTAGTTAAAGAAATTATGGTATATCTACACAATGGAATACTATGCAGCTGTTAAGAAAAAAAAATGAAGTCATGAAATATGCTTATAAATGGATGGAAATGAAGAATATGCTAAGTGACATAAGTCAGAAGGAGTAAGACAAACACAGAATGTCTACACTCACTGGTGGGATAAAAAAAATAGTAAGAGACTAACACCCAAGGACAGAAGAAAGAAGGGTCAGACAAACGGTCCATGGTTGGAAGTCTGCCTCAAGGGCTCAAGGAGAGGGTATTTGGGACAGAGAAGGGACCATTATGACAATAATGTTTGGAATGGATAGCTCTGGACTGGTGACGTGTGCTGAAAGTGGGTAAATGACCAAACATGATGGCCTGTCTATATCTTCATTGCAAACAATAATGACCAAGAAGGGGCCCAAAGAAAGAGAAGGGGTGGGAATGGGAGAGAGTTAAAAGAAAAGTACCTGCCATAGAGACAGTCTGAGGGAGGTGATAGTAGGAGAGATACAGGGGATAATGGTGGTAGAAAATGATCACTGAAGAGGGATGGATGTTGGAACATTGTATGACTGAAACTCAATCATGAAAGCTTTCTTACTATCTCCCGGGGACATGGTGATTCAGTTCCCAAAAAAAAGATTGCTTTTCTCAAGACATGTCCTGATATTCCATGGAAAAATTTCCACAGAAAAGATAGAGATTTTCAGAGATTACCTAACAAGTCTAATCTGTAACTAGACAGACTGCAATTTTGGTGGATGCTTTTTAAAGGGAATCTATCATGTATACTAAGAAGAGTTTATTTCATGAGAAGCAATATCGCACATTACAGATACAAAAGGAAAACGGTACTATTCAAATGACACAAGCTCCAATCTTGAATTTTCAGTATAGCTGCATTTTAAAAACAGATAAATTCTAAAGCTGTTATTTAAAACTAATTATATTGTCCGCACTACTTTATTTTTGGTTTTTGAGCCACACCCACCAGTACTCAGGGCTTACTCCTGACTCTGCAATGAGGGATCACTCCCAGTGGTGCTCAGGGGACCACATGAGATACCAGGGATCAAATCCGGTAAAAAAAAAAAATTCTGACACACATAAGACAAGTTGTAATAGTGTATTATCTCTCTGGAACCCGTCAGCACTAATTTAAAATCCCATTAATTGCCCATTAAGTACGTACAAATTGAAATTTTTATTTCACAAAGTGAATTTAGAAAATACCTAAGTGTTTTATTGCTTCATTTATTTTCGCAAGAAATCAACCATCTTCATCTACTGCATTTTAATAGTTAATTTTTAATTTTCTGGTGCCTGTTATCTTTTCCTTTCTCTCAGTACCAACTCCCTCCTTCCTTGCATGTTCTGCAAAAACATGAAATTTAAATGTTTGTCCTTGAAAAAGTCAGCTTAAAATAGATGAAAGACTTGGGGATTTGGCCTGAAACCATACGGCATGCTGAAGAAACACTCTGTAGTGGCTTCAGTGGTTCTTGAGGGATTGGACTACACTGGTACACAAAAAAGAAAAAGGAAGTAAAATTATATGTAACTAAAAAGGTTCTGCACAGTGAATCACTAAACAAAGTGACTTACTACTGAATGGGAGAAAATATTCACATCATATATCTGACAAAGCGTTAAAATTAAAAATATATGAAGAATTCAAAAAACTCAACATCAGAAAAATAACCCCAGTGAAATATGAGAAGAGCTAAAGAGAGATTTCATTAAGCTATACAGGTAACCAACAGGCACATAAAAAATGCTAATTATCTATTATCAAGGAAATACAAGTCAAAATGACAATGAGGGATCACTTTGTACCTATGAGAATAGCCTGAGCACAGAATCTGGGATAAGCCCTGAATACCACTGGGTATGGCATAAACCCCTACCCAATGAGAAATGATTTTCCTTTATAATTCTTAATTTATACTTAATGAATTTCAGGAAATATAAAGTACATCAATGTGGTTACTATGCCAATAAAATTGACTGTACATGAATTTGGGTTCTGAAAGAAAAATAGTTGAATCTGGTCACACCTGGCAGTGCTCAGGGATCACTCCTGACAGTAGTGCTTGAAATGTTGGGGATCAAACTGGGATCAGCTTTGTTAACAGTCTCTTCTCTCTCTCTCTCTCTCTCTCTCTCTCTCTCTCCCCCCCCCCCTGCCCCCTCCCACCTTCCCCCACCCTCTCTCTCCCCTGCCACCCTCTTCCCCCTCCCCACCCCTAGAACACACGTATTAAAGCAGGGTAGTTAGAAAACTCCCACTTAGATCAGTGGCTGCAAACTCCATGCCTCAAGGGATAGGTGATGGGTTGGACCTTATCTTCCCTCCCCTAGGGACCCTGGAAGTCCCGCCCATGAACTGCCTCCAGCAGCTGTTTAAGCTCATTAACGGCCATGATCCAGAGATACATAAAAGAATCTCAGAACCCAGCAACTCTCTGCAGAGCTTTCTCCAGATCCTAATTATCTAAAATTTTAGAATTCCTGGAGTACCCAGATGTGATATCTTATGCCATTCATAACAAGCAATACAAAATAAATCATCTAGCATCTGCCTTTCTCGGCAGGTTTGAGTGGTGGTGGGAAAACTCAAAGTAATGGTGGTGGGACTGGTGTCAAAATATTGAGTGTAATCCATTATTGTGAACAATTTTATGAAAATAAAATTTAAAAAAAGAAAAGAAAAATCCTGCTTAAAATATAGGGTAATGCTTTCCAAACATGAGTCATGAAACAGGCTGCATCAGATCCTAGAGCTTTCTCAAAATATCAATGCTAAAATTTCACTGGTAAAACATGAGTTCAACATTTATGGGGCATAACCAAATCAACTGTATTTTAATCATTTAAGTGAGTTTAATGAATGACCAGCTTTGAGATGTACTATGTACAATACACTCATTTGATACTGTTGTTTTTTTCACTTTGAGACTTAAGGTACATCTCACAGAATCTCTTATTTACAATCATTTTTCCAAACGTGGATTCCCATTATATATCCAAGTCCTAGTCTGTGCTGTCAACAGAAGAAAACTTTCCAAAAGCTAATGCAAGAAAAACTTACCTTGAAGTAGATGAGGACCATGACACTGGCTATACCAAGACTAAAGAAGGTTTCTTTCAGGATTAAATTAGTAAGAAGATCCCAGAAGTAAAGGCAACAGAAAGAAAATTTTCTCTGTGCTAAATATCATCTAACAATCTCGTCAGAATGATAAAGGATACTATTAATAGTAATAGTATAATAGCTGGAGCAATAGCACAGCAGGTAGGGCGTTTGCCTTGCACGCGGCTGACCCAGGTCTGATTCTTTCATCCCTCTTGGAGAGCCCAGCAAGCTACCAAGAGTATACCGCCCACACGGCAGAGCCTGGCAAGCTCCCCATGGTGTATTTGATATACCAAAAAACAGTAACAAGTCTAACAATGGAGACGTTACTGGTGCCTGTTGGAGCAAATCGATGAACAATGGGAGGACAGTGCTACAGTGGTATTAATAGTAATCAAAGTACAAGCTATGTATAAACAATATTGGTTAACTTACTTTGCCATTGTTTCTGCGGATAGGTCTTCAGAATTCTTTACTTTTGTTTCACCTGAAAAGAAATGTTTCAAACAAAATTCTAAAGGGTGGGAATTATAAAAGCAAAAGTATTCTTTATCAAATATTTCACCACTGAGCAATGGAATGGGAACTTCATTACTGTAGATGATGGACAAAGAAATTTCTATTTAAATACATCTTTATAGTCAGCACATCTAAGGTGGGTAATTATAGTAAAGGTAAGGTAAAGGTAAAGGCCCTCCCGTTGATCGTCGATTTGCTCGAGCGGGCCCAGTAACGTCTCCATTGGAGACTTTGTTGTTACTGTGTCTGGCATATCGAATACTCTCGGTAGCTTGCCGGGCTCTCCGAGAGGGGCGGAGGAATTGAACTCGGGTCGGCCATGTTGGCCGCTTGTAAGGCGAACGCCCTACCCGCTGTGCTATCGCTCCAGCCCGGGTAATTATAGTAATCTAGCAAAAATTTATTCACACTCCATCATAAAATTTTTATGATAAAAATTTATCAACACTCATTTGTTCACACATCCATATTTGAGGGATGCTAAGCCTTCTCTCAAAATACCAATACGGAGCAAATAAGTTATTTTATTACTACACTGCAAATAGTAATAACACTTAAAACTACTCAGTGGAGTTAGCAACTACATCACTGAATCAAAGACTAAGAATCAAAAGACCCGAGCAATCGTGTAGCAGATAGGGCGTTAGTCTTACATATGGCAGACCTAGATTTGATCCTCAGGACCCCATACAGTCCCGAGCAATGCTGGAGTAACTCCTAAGTGCGGAATCAAGAGTAATCTTTGAGCATTACCAGGTATGCACCCCCCCTCCCCAATAAATGATCAGTAATATGGGTCAAGTGGCACTACACATGCAGAGCATGTTGAAGTCCTAAGTTTGATCCCTACAACTGTATGGTGGCCCTTGGAAGCACCACCAAGACTGCTTTGGTAGGATGGATGAAAAAAAGGAAGGACTAGAGTGACAGTAAAAGGGTTAAAGCACTGGCCTTGCTTGTGGCTAATCTTGGTTTCTTGGGCACTGCATGTGATTTCCCAAGAACCACCAGAAGTGATCCCTGGGCACTGAGTCCGGAGTAAGCTAGAAGTAAACATACCTTTTGGGTGTGCCCCCACCGAAAAAGAGATAAATGAGAAAGAGAACTTTACTCACCATGACCTCGCAGATCCAAGGCCACAATTCTACATTGAACCCTACTAATGATAGCTGCCTAAGAGGAGAGGAAAAGGAGGAAATTACATGTTAGCAATTTTTTTCTATTAATAATGACAACTGTTGAATAAACTGCCATCAGAATTCAAGGAACTCAAGAAAATAAGCAAAAAATGCCACTTTTAATTTTTAAAACACATTTCCTGCTTTTCGGTGCATTTTCTGAACTACAAATCCCAACTTAAATATATGGTTTTCTACACCTAAATCTCTTCTCAAACCATCACCTTTTAAAATGAAACAGAATAAGCAACGTTAAGCAATGATCCTCTGAGCTCAGTTATTACCTATAATTTTTGGCCATATTCCTTAACTTCTTTTTCCTAGTCTGGAAGGGATGTTACCTAAATAAGGACCGTGAATCCATTTATACCATGGCTCAGGGTATCATATCAACGTGATAGTCAGATCCTGAAATAACCCTGAAAACAGTATAAATGATGAAATTAATCAAAGATTCAAGATGAAGCAATAAACTTGTTTCACTAGCTTGTACACAAGATTTACCACAGTTAAAATAAAAAACAAATTGAAAACAAATGATGCCATGGACAGGCATAAGTTTAGAAGTTTAAACAAAACTGAAAAAGTTGGAAACTTTCCTCAACTAAACTATGTTTTTTTAAAACAATAGGCAACAATTACTGTTAGTGAATGCCATCAGCACTTTTTTAACTTTTACGAATAAAATAGGAGGGGGAAGCAACGAATGATTTTTTTCTGAAAAGGAGGTTGTATGCCATATAAACTTGTGAATCTGGTTTAGTCCAAATATGACCAATCAAGACTAGCACAAAACAAGACTATCTTGCAAAAAATATACAATCCTCATAGTAATCACAGAACAAAAACCTGAAGAAGACATATGGTGGGGGGGGATTAGAGAGAATCACTAGCAAAAGTAATCAAAATAAAAGTATATGGCAACAATGGAAAAGTAAACAGAAATATAAAACAAAAAAAAAAAACAAAGAGAATGGCAATGAGTCTCATACATCAAAAATGATCCTAAATGTGATTGGTTAGAACTTATCAATTCAAAACAGAGTATGGTTGAATTGGTTAAAAAGCAAAATCTATACTATGAATAAAAGTCTGACATTAGTAACAATGATAAATAATGAATGAGTCGAAGTTTGATTTTCTGAGTAGAAGTCTAGAGGCAAGGTGTTTTAATCCAGTACTGCAGGGACAAGGGCTAATCTCAAATCTGATGAAAACTGTGAACTAAAAGATGTATTAAGAGAGAGCTATTATATTCTGATCAAGGAGTAAAAGAAGTTATCGATATTTATACAATATACAACTTAAGGGATCCCATATATTAAAAAAACTTAAAAGACCAAAAGGGATTCCCTGACAGCAACATAATAACTATAGGGATCACAACACACCACCTAAAGCAGTGGACAGATCATCCAGACAAAAAATTAACAAGAAAATATCAACAGTAAATCAAACTGATGAAATGGATACAACTTATAAAGATATATAGAAACAAAAATTTCCATGCCTAAAGAAATATATATTGTTCTCAATGACACACGAAACAAATACCAGACATCACCAAAGAGTAAATTAGTAAATACGTGAAGATTTAATCATGTCAAGCATCTTTTCTAATCACAGTAGGAAGAGTTTATAAATCAACAAAAAGAAAATGAGAAATACTTCAACCTGCAGACAGCAAACAACAAATTTCTGAATAACTTGTGGGCCAACAAAGAAATCAAAGGACAAATAAAAATACTACCTGGAGAATTAAAACAAACAGATGAGTTACTAGATCCCATGGAATGCCAACAAAAGCAGTATGAAGGGAGTTCAACCACGATACAGATCCACATCAACTAAGTGGGGGCCAAGGAGATGCTCCTAAGTGTGGGAGAACATGTTTTGTACACAGGAGTCCTCTAACATATCATGGTCCCCAACTACAACAAAGTACTCATGAGTACTGCCAGGTGTGGGCCCAAAAGGAAAGTACTTTGGGCTTCTATCTGCAAGCAAATTAGACAACCTAAAAGAAACGAACAATGTTTTTAGAATCATACAACCTTCCAAGACTGAACCTGGAAGAAACAGAAAGCTTGAACAGACCAAACTTAAATACAGAAATCAAAAGTTAAAAATAAAAGTATGCCTAGTAAGAAGTCTAGAGCCAGATGGCTTCACCAGTGAACGCTATAAAACTTTAAAAGAGGAATACCCCTCCAATCCAAACACCTGTGGAGCGAGTTATCACTCTAATTTCCAAACTAGGAAGAGACAGCATAAAAAGAGAACTAACCTTACCATGAGTCATACACCAATAATTTCAAGTGAACTACCTACAATTTTCTCTCAACTTTTATTCAGACATAATTTTCATGTTACAGACACAGACATTTTATAGGGTAATTAAGGAAGCTGATCAGAGCCCAACAGTGAGGCACTGGCAAAGATTAAAATCCAAGCAACCTGGTGCCAAATTGTTCTCAATTCTGATTGCATAATAGAATCATACAACAAACTTAAGCAAGTGCTACTGTTCAGGTGCTAATGCCACAGAAAATCTGAGTTAAGTGCTACCTGAAGGGGGCTAATATACATCCATACATGTTAAGAGTTCCCAGGTATTTCTAGGGTATAACTGAAGTTCAGCCTAGCCCTGAACTCAAGAATGAGACAAAACTGCATGGTAATAAAATATTTCTGTGTCACTGTTATCACACCAAATTACCTATCAAGTAAGTAGGCTAGGAAAATAGTTCAGTTTTAGTAACAGTTCCTGAGAGGCATATTGAAAACTGGTGAAAGTATGAAGAAATAAGTATCCACAGACATGATTAACCTGCTCCAACTTTATAATTCTGGCAAATTTGATGAGTGGCATTCTTTTCTTTTCTTTTCTTTTCTTCATTAACAATATGATGGACCCATTAATATGTTATTTCCAACTGCTACATTGGATCTCTTTGTACTGGATTGTCTTTTTCTTACTGCTTAAAATCAACCCGTTATTGCTTATCAGTGTATCACTGCATCACTGTCATCCTGTTGTTCATCGATTTGCTTGAGTGGGTGCCAGGAACATCTCCATTCATCCCAGCCCTGAGATTTTAGCAGCCTCTCCTTACTCATCCTTCCCAATGCTGCCATACTGGAGGCTCTTTCAGGGTCAGGGGAATGAGTCCTGTTATTGTTACTGTTTTTGGCATATCGAACATGCCACAGGTAGCTTGCCAGGTCCTGCCGTGTGGGCGGTATACTCTTGGTAGCTTGCCGGGCTCTCCGAGAGGGACGGAGGCTTTTGGGTCAACCTCTATTATTGCTCATATGATACATAATCAAATATTTTTATCTAGCATCTGTTTGAACTTTAAAATATCTTCTCTGGGGCTGGAGCAATAGCAGAGCGGGTGGGCATTTGCCTTGCACATGACCAAACTGGGTTCAACTCCCAGCATCCCATATGGTCCCCCAAGCACCGCCAGGAGTAATTCCTGAGTGCAGAGCCAGGAATAACCCCTGTGCATCACTGGGTGTGACCCAAAAAGCAAAAAAAAAAAAAAAAAAACACCTCCCCACCTTCCCTCTGCTTCTGCTGTTGCAGTGACCCGGGGTCCCCTGCTCATCTGGTTGTGGTGCTCACCAAATCTGGCTGCAAATCACCACCAATGGCTCCATTGGTGCCACGGTTTAATGGAAGTGCTCACTAAGAGTTACTGTGTGCTCACACACACGCCTGTCAGAGGTCATGCTACACTCTTGGCCACAGTCCTCATACACTCTTAGTTGTGGGACTCACTAGGAGTCACAGTTCAGTTGCGGTATTCACACACACTTGGCTACAGTGCTTCAGAGATCTCACAATTCTGAGGTGCAGTAGGTGCAGGGGAGTGTGTGTGTGTGTGTATGTGTGTGTGTGAGGGGTGGTAGATAGCAAGCCTCCAGGACCACAGACCATAGGAAGGTTTGCATGTAATCTTTCTTTTATGACTTCTACCTTCCGGGGGGAGGAGGGCGGAGACACACTTGGCAATGCTCAGGGATGACTCCTGGCTGTGCTCAGGGGAGCATATGGATTGCTGGGGATCAAACCCAAGTTAGCAGCACCCTACCCCTATACGATCACTGCAGTCTCTATGGTTTTTACCTTTTTTGTTCTTACCTTTTTTATTGAATCACTGTTGAGATAGACCCTTACAAAGCTATTCATAATTGATTTTGGTCGTACAGTATTCCAACAGCCATCCCTCCACCAGCGGACATTTCCCAGCATCAGTGTCCCCAGGTTCCCTCCCATCACCTGCTATACCCCACCCACTGACTGCTTCTATAGCAGGTGTTTCCCCCTCCCCCTCCTTCTCTTCTTGTGGCCAAATTTAAGAAGGCCTGATTCAAGGTTATAAATGAGTGTTCTTACGAGTTTGTTTTTTGAATTCAGCAGTTTAGGGTCAGAACGATAGTGCAGTGGCACTTGCCCTGCACACAACCAACCCAGATTAGATCCCCAGCTCCCTATCACTGGGTCATCCGAGTGCAGAGCCAGTAGGAACCCCAAGCACCACCCCAAAACCAAAATAAAATCCAACAGTTTAATCCACTTGGATTAGGTGGAGGGGAGACAGGGCTACCAAGTAGTGCTCCTGAGCCCAAAGACCAGCAATTCAGAGAAAACCAGGCCAAACAGTTCAAAGCCAGGTTCAAGGATCACAGTGCTGCTGCTTGGGCTCTGTGATACCGGGCAGCATCAGGGCGATGCCAGTGGTGCTCAAGGGCCTCCAAGGGCTAAGTCTCAGCAATCGTCAGGGAACCATGTGGTACTGGGGATCAATCCAGGGTTGAGCCCATGCAAGCCCTGTGCTCAGGGGAGCATATGGATTGCTGGGGATCAAACCCAAGTTAGCAGCACCCTACCCCTATACGATCACTGCAGTCTCTATGGTTTTTACCTTTTTTGTTCTTACCTTTTTTATTGAATCACTGTTGAGATAGACCCTTACAAAGCTATTCTTAACCCCTGTACCATCTCTCCAGCCCCTGGATTGTTAATTGTATACTAACAATTTTCTTATAACCCCTGTATTGTCTCTCTAGTCCCTGAATTGATAATAACTGTAACTGTACACTAACAGTTTTCTTACACATGGGCTTGTTTCTTAATTCTGTCAATACCATATTACTGTGTTTTACAACGCTTTTTGATTATCAAAAAAGTCAAATCCTCTTTCTCTACTGGCTTTCTCAATGTTTTTTTCAAAGCCCTGGGACCCTCCTGCTAATAATGCGGCGAGTAGTGAAAACCTGATGATTTGAAGCTTGGGTCTGGGAACTCAGGGCTGCCTCAGACACTGCGGCCACACCTACTGGTGCCTGAAGGTTCATGTGGTACTGGGGAGAGAACTCAGGACACACCCGGCATGCACTCCACCTCTTGAGCTATCTTCTACCAAACCGCTTCCCCTGGCTTTTTCAAAATTATCTTGAAAATTATCTTGGGCACTTACACTTATGTACAATTACTAGTTTTTTGATACTATCTCACAAAAAATCTCTTTGAAATTTGGGGGCCAAGGACTGGCCGAACCTCAGCAGTGCTCATAGGCTACTCTCCTGAATCTCTGCTCAGAGAACCATATGTGGTGCGGGGGTAGACCCTACCTGGGGTCAGCTGCATTCAACGCAAGGACCTTAATCTACGATCTATCTTTCCCCTACGAATTTTAATGTTTCGGTCTTGGGTCATACCTGACTGAGACCAGGGCTTACTCCTGGCTCTGCACTCTGGAGTCACTCCTGGCAGTGCTCAGGGTACAATTTGGGGTGCCAGGGATTGAATCCCAGGCCAGGTGTATTTAAGGACAAAGCCCTATTTAATGTTCCAAGTAACACCCTCCTTATTAATTTTAATGAGTTGAGAGTCACTGAGGCAGTTTTCCCTAATTTTCTAGGAAGATACTATTTATAAATAATGACAGCTTTTCATTCTTCAAATCTTTAAAAAAAATACTTTCCCCCCAATTTATTATTGTGCAGAAACTCTAGAACAAGACTGAAAATAGCAACCTACCATATCCCTAACTTTACAGTAATGCTTCACTGTGTGTGTGTGTGTGTGTGTGTGTGTGTGTATGTGTGTGTGTGTGTGCTTTAACATGAAGTATATTTATAAATGTTCTGGTATATAATTTAAAAAATCCACGAAGAGTTTCATCTATTTTTAGCTGCTAAGATTTTCAACATGAATGGGTATATTTGACCAAATCCTCTTCTGGCATCAAGAGAGGATAGAGATCCACTACTTTTGTTTTTCTAGGTAAAACCTAATTTATCACAGGGTATGATTATGATAATGTACTGCTGGGCTTGGTCCCTACAACCACATAGATCAACAATAAGCAGACAAACACCAAAATGTTCAATTTCCCAGAACCTTAAAATCTCAATGTGTTTGTAACTGTTTCAAATAAAACACTAATTCTCACTGTCATCTTTTATACTCAGCCAGTTTTAATTTCCAGAGCATACTTCACTGTTATGTTCTTCAATACCTTTGTATTTCTCTTTGAGTGCCTTCTCTACTAATTCTACTTAAAACTGAATTAGTAAGTAACCAGTATCGATCTTTAAAATTCAGTAAAGAAGTTCAATAGATCATGTATGGTAAGCACTAGCACAAAATAAATGTAAAAAAATCTGTTGTTTTTTTTTTTTTTAAAAAGTTGGGGCTGGAGCAACAGCACAGCAGGTAGGGCATTTGCCTTGCACACAGCCAACCAGGGTTCGATTCCCCGCCTCCCATATGATCCCGTGAACACTGCCAGGGCTAATTCCTGAGTGCAGAGCCAGCAGTAACCCCTGTGCATCGCCGGGTGTGACCCAAAAAAGAAAAAAAATTTTTTTAAATCACAAATGCAGTTTATATCAGCATTCTTCAAGCTTTTTACACCTGTAGACTGGCACCTGTCTTGCATACCAGTCCAAGAACTGGCAGTTGTATAACAAAAGTGACAAACCAGTTGGATTTCATCCGTTCTAAACACGCAACACAACACCAGTCCATAAACCAATGACTGAAGATCAGTGGTTTATATTTCTACTGACAACAGTGGTCTAGAAATATGAAAGGGTATGGCACTTATGAGAAAATCTTAGTTGTGTCTTAAAAGAAAAAAAATAGGGGCTGGAGTGATACCACAGTGGGTAGGGCATTTGCCTTGCACGCAGCCAACCCGGGTTTGATTCCCAGCATCCCATATGGTCTCCAGCACTGCCAGGAGTAATTCCAGAGTGCAGAGCCAGGAGTAACCCCTGTGCATTGCTGGGTATGACCCAAAAACCCAAACCCCTCCTCCCCCAAAAAAGAGAGGAAATAGCAAATAAGACTGGGGTAAAATAACTAAAAATTATTTAAGTATAAAAATTACTAAGATTATAGTAGTAAATTTAAAATGATCTCAGTAATATGTGTAATAAATTACTTTTATTCTATAGCCTTGACCCTTCCTTCAGACCCACACTTTGGAAAGGCATCACTCCATCTCCTTCATTCCAATGCACATTTATACAGAAAATTTTATAAACTGTTTGAAGATTCATGAACTAAAGCCCACCCCAGTAAGGAAGCTCTACGGAAGTTCATATTCCGATCCTTGAAACATCACGTCACTGTGAACACAGAGGAAAGGTACTCTAGTCATATTCAGAAGTAAACTATGATTGAATTGCTATCAAATTCCACCATCGCCCTCTTACCGTGAACACAGCCCAGGAAAGGGCAGAATGACCTCCTCCATGCAGAAGCAGTAGGACTGGACCCTCCGAACCACTTTTATAAACTCGAAAAGTGTATGAATAGTTAAAGAGAATCTCTAAACGTATGTTCACTGACGTTTCTGATTATTTAGTCATAATAAAGCTAGTAAGAATACATATTTTTCAAATTTAAAAAAGACAATTTAATTAAACAAGTTTCTGAGATATCAAGACTGTTTCATGGAGCAAGTATGACCATTTTTACCAAGGGGGTGTGGGAGAAATCCCATTCCCTTAATGAAAGAGTTATGATTTCTAGTTTCTAGATGCTAAACCCACATTCCCTCTGAAAAAATTTGCCTCAGGAAACCCATGAAACCTTTCTGCGATGAAGAAATAATTTCATGACTTTAAATCTTAATCCCTTTCCTGGAAGCCAAGTAAGAGAAATCACATAAATTTACAGGAATATTCCATGCTGTATATGCAGGAGATACAAAATGAAACAAGCAACAGGAATAAATATATCTTCTGGGGCTGGAGCAACAGCACAGCGGGACACGGTCGACCCAGGTTCAATCTCCAGCATCCCATGTCCCCCGAGCACTGCCAGGAGTAATTCCTGAGTGCAGAGCCAGGAATCCCCCTCCCCCCCCAAAAAAGATACATCTAACTTACACATTTGCTTACTAAAAATAAGTCAATTTTTGCAAAGGATATATCCTTGCCAGTTTCATTCTCTACTTCTACATCTTCCATGGACTCAAAGTACTGACTCCAAGAAACAGGAGAGAAGTCCCGCTTTCTTCCAGGGCTAAGGAAAAAGAGAAAAAGATTTCAGGTAAAAAAATAAAATCATGGTCAGTAAATGCTTAATATAAAAGTCTTACACTGTAAATTCAATATTATATTTCAATTACAAAAAAATTCCATGCAAAGATATACCCCAAAGCTACTAGTTTTCTTTGTTCTTAGTGATAAACTCATTCCTGTCCCCTCAACCAACTCTGTATCATTACTGTTTTATTTTTGAGCACTAAGTTTTATGTGACATATAATTCCTCCATTTTTTCACAAAAGTTTGTCACTTCCCAAGCAATCAATAGATATCTTCATTAGAAGGCAAAGGAGAAATATCAATTGAACTTTACTGAAACTTCTAGGAATGATTATGAAGATATATTCACACTGAAGTAAAATTACCTACCAAATGCAGTACAAGTGAAAATTTGAAAAATAACTGAAATATCCAAAAGTAATGGATTAAACTGTAGTTCATAGAACTGTACCATTTAGTTGAAAAAAAGAAAACTAACTGAATAAAATTATTTACTGTTAAGATACACTGCTAAATAAATAAAAGTGTTATGTAATCTACCAATTTTGGGTGAAAAGGGGGAATATATATAATTGTGTAACTATTTTGAATATCTTTGGAAAGATATTGATAACATGATATATGGGGGTAGAGCTATAAACTGGAGACATGAGATCAGTTTTTTACTGTATTTTGATCTTTTGTTTTTGACCCATACGTCGTTTAAAAATATAAAATTATTTTCTTTATTTCTATAAGGATGCCAGTGATTGAATCTAGGACTTCATGCATGTGAAACAGGCACTTTGTCAGTTATGGAAATGACTTAAAAGCAAAAACAGAAAAAAAAGTCAGGACTGGAACATTAGTACAGTGGGTAAGACGCCTTACGTGCAGCCAACCCAGATTCAATACCTGACATCCAATATGGTTCCCCAAGTCCTGCCAGGAGTGATTCTGAGTACAGCTGATTTCAAATCTAACAAAATAAACATATTTTCTTCCCACCTCCCACTAGCAGAGGAAATCTGGCATTGAGAGAACCAAACGGTGCTGTGAAAAACAAAGGAAATACAGCCATGTGATTCAGGTGACTTTTTAGAGATCTTTGCTATTATCATCAAAGCTATTCATATTCTGGTTAAGAGCTATGGGCCAAGTCACTCTAGAAAAATGTTTACATATCTATTATGACAGACTTCCACTGGCTTAAACAAAACTCACCTAAGATTCTTAAATTAGAACCGCTGAACAATGGCTTGACTGTAGCTATTTCTAACAGAAACAGCAAATTTTTTGATACGTAGAAAAGGAAGATACTGAATCTTGAATATTTTCTGGATTTTAAATTTTCCATTTGATACCATTAAAGATTTGTTTTCATACTCCAGTTCTGCCTTGGGTACTTACTGTACTAAGCCTGAGTTTCTTCATGGCAGAAAGCTCAATTTTATGAGAACTGTTTATCAGGGTTTTAAGTAGCCCTTGTATCTCTTGGCAGCTCTCAAATTGGCCTCTTTTATTTTTGTTTTTGTTTTCTGGGCCACACATTGCAAGCTCCCTGACTACTCTCAGTGGTACTCAGGGGACGATGAGGTGCCAGGGACTGAACCTGGTGCTCCCATCGACAAAACCATACTCCAGCCCTTTGAGTCATCTCCCCAGCCTAATGCCTTGTTCTATTTTTAGCACAGAACTAATCATTTTCTAAAGTTAGTCTGTTCTTGTATTTGTTATTCACCAGTCACTCCACCTAATTTTCTATTATATGAGAATCCTTAAAGCAAGAAAATTTTCCACTTGTTCATCAATTGTATTCTGAGCAGGGTACCTGTGGGCTGTATGAACAGTCATGTGCATAAAGTACTTAGCTTGGTACTTTTAAAGGGCAGCATGGAAACCATGAAAACTAACCATGGAACAGACTTGCAAATCATAGATTGATAAGAGATTTATCTGATTTTGAATGTATAAAGAACACAAATATTCTACCCCAAAATATAAGGTAGTTTTCTATTACTTCTATCTATACATATATACTATATATATTTTTCCTATCTATATCTTCTAATTAAGGTATTGCTGTTGATATTTTAAATATTTTTGTCTGTTTTTCAAGTCACTGATGGGTTGTGATGCTCAGGGCTTACTCCTGGTGGTGCTCAGGGAACCACATACAGTGCTGGGAATTAAACTAGAGTCAGTTCGCACATGGCAAGTGCCTAACTCTCTATGCTATCTCTCCAGCTCTTCATCTGTAACATGTTTTCATCCCCAAGTTATTGCTTGTTCTCTGAAACGAGGATCTGTTTCAGTATGAAATGCATCCTGTTCTTGTTTCACAGATGTTGTATTGTCCCATGTCTTTTGACAAGCTGTTTTTTTTATGATTTTCTTTTTGATTTATATATATATTTAGTTTTTTGGGGTTTATGTGGTTTTGGTTTGGAGGCCACACCCTACAATGCTCAGGGGTTACTCCTAACTTCTTACTCAGGAATTATTCCTGGTGGTGCTGGAGAACCACAGTGGGGAGCCAGGGATTAAATCCAGGTCAGGCAAGCAACCCACCCCCTGTACTATAGCTCTGGCCCCTTACTGTGTGTTTTGTTTATTTCTCTTGTTTTTAGAGACTTTCTCTGGATGTCTGATGATTTTGCTAAGTGTGGAATTTGTTGACTAGCGTTGACTAGTGTTGCTGACTAGCCTTTCATTTTTGTTATTGTTATGTTACTTCCAGCAGTGCTCAGGAGCCACCGAAAGCACACTTGGCAGTGCTGGAAGAGGAATGTGGTACTAGAGATCAAACAAAAGGTCTGATCACAGACACAAAGTAGGCACTCTCACTTGCGCCCTATCCTGGTCCAAGGCCCAATCTTTCAATTAGGTGTGTTCCCTAAATATCAATATATCCATGTCTGTTCTCAGGTCAGGATCTATTCATAGAAAAACCCTCCAACTGCCTGCCTAGAATGTGAGACTAGGTGCTTTGCCTTCTATAAAAGGAGCTGAACAGCCTCAGTGATTCACTCACACAACAAATATTTATTAAACACCTACAAGATATTATTTTAGGCACTAGAAATAGTACAGCGAACCGAAGTCACCCTACCCCACCTTTTTTAAATTTTTTTTTTGCTTTTTGGGTCACACCCAAAAATTACGCTCAGGGGATCATATGGGATGCTGGGAATTGCATCCAGGTTGGCTACGTCAAGGCAAATGCCCTACCTGCTGTGCTATTGCTCCAGCCATCCCACTCCTTTTTTTAAAAGGTATTTATACTCTGTAAAGTCAGACAGCAACAAAAGCCATGAAGAAAAATTAAACCAGGAAGAAGGACAATGACAATCAGGATGGTACGAATTGCAATAGGAAATGAGGTGGCCGGGGAAAGCATGTCTTAGTTAAAAAAAAAAAAAAAAGCCCATGAAGGAGCAAGCATAAACAATTCGAGAATACACAGGAATGTGTACCTTCACTTATACCCTGTTTTCATCCTGTTGCTTTATTTTTGCCTGTAACCTTGATGAAGAAACAACAGTCAAAGACATCTTGCTGAGAGAATATCAGAGCTGGAGAGAGTGCATGTCCAGGAGGCCCAGAGGGTACCAGCTACAAGTGGTACAAAGAGACATCCTAATCAGAATGATGAAAATCATAAAGATAGAATATTGAAAGAGCAAGATCAAAGAAGGAAACTAAATACAATGGACTATCCTTAAGATTTATAGCAGATTTACCAAACAAAGTCCTAGGGAACAGAAGACAGTGTGATATAAAAAACAAAAACTCAAAAAGTGAAATGAACAACTGACCAAGAATACGTTGCATAGCCAGACACTCCTTCAGATTTGAAGGAAGGATGCACAACTTTGCAGATAAAAATAACTCAGAAACTTCATAGATTCAAAACCATCTTTACAAGAACTAAAGGGACTACTTTAAGAAAGGATGACTCCCACAAACATGCCAACCTCCTACAGAAAGACTGCACAAAACTCTTGTGACAATAATCTCTTTCAGTATCAACAGGCTAAATGCACCAATTAAGAGACACAGAATTAGAAAAATGAATTAAAATACTGAACACAACATTCTGCTACCTGCAAGAAACATATATGAAGTCAGAGCAAACACAGAACTCAAAAGTCAAAAGTTGGAAAACACTCAACAAAATAGGCATGGAAGGAATCTTTAAGATAGGAAAGGCATCTACAACAAGCCCACAGCCAGTATCATTCTTAATGGTAAAAAACTAAAAGCAATACGTCTAAGATCAGGTACAAAGCGAGGATGTCCATTGTCTCCACTTTCATTTAATATAGAATTAGAAGTCCTGGCTATCATAACAACGCAAGAAAAACAAATCAAACTGGAAAAGAAATCAAATTATCATTATCTGCAGATAACATAATAGACATAGAAGACCCTAAAAAGTCCACAAAAATATCTCCTAGGAACAATAAACTATACAGCAAAGTCACTGGCTATAAGATCAATACACAAAAATCAGTTGCATTCTTATATACAAAGAATTAGTCAGAGGAGAAAGTGATCAAGGTGTCAGTCTCATTTAAATAGCATACAAAAGCATCAAAAATATATGAATCAGGCTGGGGCGATAGCACAGCGGGTAGGGAGTTTGCCTTGCATGTGGCCGACCCAGATTTCCAGCATCCCATATGGTCCCCCAAGCACCGCCAGGAGTAATTCCTGAGTGCAGAGCCAGGAATAACCCCTGTGCATCGCCGGGTGTGATCCAAAAAACAAAACAAAACAAAAAAGAATATATGAATCGGGGGCGGAGTGATAGTACAGAGGGTAGGGCATTTGCTTTGCATGTAAATCCGGGTTTGATCCCCGGCATCCCATATGGTTCCCCCCCATGCCCCGCCAGGAGTAATTCCTGAGTGCAGAGCCAGGAGTAACCCCTGAAAATTGCTGGGTGTGACCAAAAAAATAAAAGAATATATGAATCAATATGAATGTGGAAA